CCGTTACCAATAAAAAAGTACAAAACTAAGTACACGCTCATACGAAATGCACATAAATACAAGCGTATGTATATTGTATATGTATGTGTGTAAAATAAGAATCCTCTTCCTATTCGACACCATGCCTTTGTAAAATAACTTCATTCCCATCCACATATAGGTATCATACATATAGGCAGTAGTGCTTGGCTACGCTCATTTTTACCGCCAACTTCATCGCTCACTTTCCTTACTTGCTGCCTGCCCAGTCTTGCGCTCACGCAAAACAACAAATTTTTCATATATTTCTATTCCTTCACTCCGAGTTTTTGAACTTTCGCTCAGGCTACTTACTTCATTCATTTATATATGGTATATAAATACATATATATGCGCATATGTGTGTAAAATCATTTCAATCCTGAATAGATATATAGTCGTTCTCATTTTTTTCTGCTCATTTACACTATAGCTGACTTTCATGTCCGCCTGATAGTTTTAGCGGTATTTTCTTCAATGGCGTCAGTACATTCAGCGCAACAACAACGTTGTCTTGCCTTTGCAAGCACGAGTAGTTGGTCACAGTCGAAATAGCACTGCAGTGTGAGCTCATTCTCTCTCTCACACTCTCTTTGCATACATTCTGCATTGCTCCATTGCTCCATTTCTTTGTCAATCCCATTTCACTGCTTCAACATTGTAGAGTCATTTTATATTGTTTGCTGTTGAGCTCATTCCATTCATTAATTTTATAAGAAGAACGGTATCGCATAATAAATAATTAATTTAAACGTCGCCGCACCCAACTTTTGTAGTTTTCAAGACTTTGCAGTCTTGCGGCATGGCCGTTGTGTGGGTGTTCATGTGGACATAGTTTGCAATGAAATAAATTAAGATTGCATACATTAATATTGTTTTTATGCAAGTGTGTGTGTATATGTGTGTGGCGAATGGGGTTTAAGAGATATGCGACGTGTGGCAAGCAAGAATTTGCAACGGAACGCGTTATGCTGTCGAAACTTCTTGCCAGATCGAACGGCTGATGCACTTGTGGATAACGGAAATGAATGATCAAGTTCAATGAAATTTAATTTTATTTAATTAAAGTGAAACTGTATATATAACGGGATGCAAAATTAAGGCATTATAATATTTATTTATGATGCCTTAAATGGGAGCGTGTAAAACAGAAGTCGGTAATGTGAAAGAGATAAGAAGTTTAAGTGTGATTCCTTCATTTCTTAAGCTTCGGGGTTCCCATCCATAGGGAAACTTAGGTAATTTATCATAAATTGATTCTTTATTATTTTGAAATTCATTAATGAGTTTTAATTTTACCTAAAGCTCAGCTGAGTACTTTCGCAGCTCCTACTGAAAAATTGCTTTTTATAAAATTTATAAAAATATTTAAGAATAATGTTACCAGCTAATCAGAAATTTCAAAATTAGTTATTAATTTTACTGAAAGCTCAACTGAGAGTTTTCGAAGAAACCGCTGAATTTTTTTATGAATTATATATTCGATTAAAAGCGCTGCCAGCTAACCATACATTTCAAAATGGCTTTTAGTTTTACTCAAATCGTAGCGGAGAGCTTTCGAAGCAACCAAAGCAAATAGTTACCAACTAACCAAAATTATTGAATTGAGATTTGTAAGCGTAATATTGATATATATAAGATTATTTTTTTTTTCAAATTTCAACACAAAGCTTCGTGAAAGCTCAAGCACAATCAATAACTAAATGTTTTATTATGTACACACATATTTTAATAAAAAAATGTGGAAGTCACCATTTATAACGATCCATTTAATAACGATTTCAAAAAATTGTATTGGAAATTCATGCTTTGAGTAAGCTTCGTGAAAGCTCAAGAACTGTAAGTGCTTAAAGCTTTCATCACTTACGCAAATATTGTCTTGAAAAAATCGCAGTGAAGTCATTTGGAAGTACAAAGATAAGCTTTTCGACAACGAATCACATAACGGAAAACAAGAAACTTAAATTACATTTGCGTGTGTCGGTTACATTGTAATTAAGAATAAATAGCAACATAAGACAATAATGTATAAGATTTAAGCACATATATAGGGTGACTTATATATTTTTTTCTGCCATATTACAATTGGTCTAGCTTGGCTCAGTTTAGCATTGCAAAATAGCGGCCAAGCCGAATGCCGGTTGCAGCCCATTTTGTTGGGCTCCTTTATTTTCCGTGAATAACGGAAGTTTTAAGCTCTATTAAAATTCACATCCGCTGCCGCAAATCCCATGTAAGCGAGCCATCTTGGCAAGCAAGAAACTACCAAAGATTAAATGGAGAAAAGCAACCACAAACGCAGGCCGTGCCCGCAGCCGGTGTTAGCGCCTAAAAGCCTGCATTTCCGTTCGGCTAAGTACTAAGCGTGTTGTGAAAGCCGAGTTAAGCGGCGCGAGCGAACGTTTGTTATATGCTTTTACTATAAAAAAAACCGAAGAGAATTTAACAAGAATCATTGTTATGCTTACGACTCAATTGTTTCGTGTTTTCGCGTCGTGCATTTGAGGCAATGCTATTTGCTGTGAAATTTATTAATAAACGTGCAACATTTGCATACAGGCGGTGCAACGAAATGAAAAGAATTATAATTCAGCAAAAAAATGCATACTAAAGTGTAGAAACGGAAATGGCTTAGCAAGGAATCAACTAATTCCTCTTTAAATAAATCTCTATCCTCGCAGGATAATCCAAAGCAAAATGAGGAAGGCGCGCAAAAAATACAAAAAGGATTTCCAGCGTGGCAGTTAAACAACGTGGCACATAAAAACTGTGTGAGGCAGTGTTGGCATGTTGGCGTATTGGCGTGTTTCATGTTCACTCATACACATACTGTAAAATAGGTATAATAGTTTAGTTGCTTTACTACTTTATTACATTGTTGACTGCTTTTTGTGGCGGCAACAAATTGATGTTCGTTTCGTGCCGACGTTAAATATGCAACGAAATGTCTGCAAAGGAAAGCAATAAACTGCGCTGCATGGCCGACTAGTGACGCCTTCGCGCTCCTGACCAACGGGGCGAGCCATTTTTTCAGGCATGCCGCGAGTTTGAGTCCCGTATTCGACTTTGTAGCCGATATTCCGCGCTTAGTACCGAGCAGCGCTCACTTTTTGCATTTCCTTCAATATAGTTTTTGTTTTTCTTGTTCTTTTTTGGCAATTTCGTCTGCGCGCTGCTGTCTACTCTGAGTTCCTGAGCGCATAAGTATAGACAGGCGAAAATATTTACGTTTTTTGTTGTTAATTTAAGCATAAACATGATCACGTGCTTGCCATACATATTTCATGTGAAAAGAAATTATGTGAGTTTTTTAAGCCGAAATTGCTATAGAAGTGTGCAAACTGTTAGCATACACATAAGCAAATAACGCACACATTTTTCAAGCGTTAGGAGGCTGAGGAATTTTGCATCAAATATTTGAAATTAGGCGTGTGGAAGCAGCTGTAGCACGTCTCGTTTACAGCGTGTAAACATGCTTAAAAGTACTCACACAAACACACAGATACACACACACTTGTATGCTTAGTATAAATCCCCTAAAATATCCTTGCTTGCCACAAAGCGCCAACTGTTCATATTCAAATCCACCAAGCTGCATATGTTAACACACATACTCGCCAAACTTGCTGAGCGCGCGCGTGTGTGTGCGTGCATATCATTGGCGCTTTGTAAAAAAAGCCATAAAGTATATGAATAATTGAAATAGAAGTCGGAAACATTTTTATGGCAAGCGCGCGAACGAGTCTAAACAAGCTACAAACTGCACTTTACAACTACGAAGACAGCAAAGGCCGAACACCGTTGAGCAGCTGAGATGAGCGCTGTGCCTAGTATAGACACATGTCCGTTTGTTTGAAAAAGTCAATGTGTGGCTCGCGTGTTTTTGTTGGGGCATGTGTAAACTGAATGCTACTTTCCTTTATGGCAGCCGTTTACAAAGGAAGATGACGCTCCCACAGCAACCTGAAAAAATATAGGTAGCAGGCGTAAGTGTTGTTGTGGTGTGATTTCTACAAGATTTTTGCTGTTTTTGTTGTTGTTCCATTAATATGTGGCACCATAATTGCCTTAAAATTTGATTTATTATTTAGTCAAGTTGTGTTGCTGATATTTTGTGCATTTTTCATATTTAGAAGTTTCGAGCAATTGTAATTTTAATTTTGTTTCAATATACGGTATCTTTGCACTCAGCAACGATGACTAAAAACTACATAAATTATTTATTAATTTATCTTAAAATATACCTATATTCCTAAGCAGACTCGCTTCTATAATACCTCGAGAGCAGCTGCGTTGTGTGATAAACTTTGCTAAAAAGATAGCTTAAAAGAGAATGTTCTTGGGATGTCAATTCGGTTGACCAAGAGCTCTCTTCATTGGCAGCTCTTGTATTTCGAAATTGACATGTTGCAACCACTCGACTCAATTACCGATTTCTAAGTAAATGAACCTTTTATTCATACAATACAATATTTTTGCAATATTTTGGAGCGATGTTCATGAGTCTTGATGATAATATATCGTGTAGGAGATGAATGATGAAAATGGCCATATTTTGTAATTTTTCAATATTTGATTGCACTATATATTTATTCGGAGATTATACTGTTGTCTTGGAAAATAATCCAGGCGAAATTTCGTGGAGATATCTTGCCAAATAAAAAACTTTCCATATAGAGTTTTGATCAGTCAGTTTGTATGGCAGCTCCGATATCTGCGATTCAAACTAATAGGTAGCTTCTTGGCAAGAAAAATGTGTGCATAATTTCAGATCTATATCTCAAAAACTGAAAGACTAGTTCGCCTATTTTCAGACGGACTGTGATGACTAATGTACTCAGCTCGCAATTCAGATCATTTACATACTTATATATTAAGTAATATTTTATATCTGCAATAGCTTTCTATAAAATATATATCAGCAATATTAGAAATCTCTGGTTAACTAAAACTTTTAAACATATCGTAACATTTCTTTGCAGGCTAAAATGATCGAAAGTGGACATCCTTGGATGGGCGCAGCGTCGACATCTTCCGTTACCGGTTAGTTAAAAGCATTGATCATATTTTTTTTTAATGAAAATTAAGACAAAAATTAAATTAGATTTCCAATATCTTTTTTGAAGTATTCAAATATTCCATATAGTTCTCTTCACTTATTTTCCTTAAATAAAATTTCTTAAGCACATACATCTATTTTTCTTGACTAATTATCAAACTAAAGCAATTATCACAATAAATCCATATTTTTCGACATTTCAAATTCCGAATTTCTTTTGTCCTTCCCACTGCATCGTCTCAGCAGACAGCTACCAGTATCAGTTGCAATCGATGTGGCAAAAATGTTGGAACACGAATCAGCAAAACCTTGTTCAACAATTGCGGTTTCGTGAACGCGGTCCCCTAAAGTCGTGGCGCCCTGAGGCCATGGCCGAAGCCATATTCAGCGTATTGAAAGAGGGTCTTTCGCTATCGCAAGCAGCACGCAAATATGATATACCCTACCCCACTTTCGTTTTATATGCAAATCGCGTACATAATATGTTGGGACCCTCACTGGATGGCGGCACCGATCCACGTCCGAAAGCACGCGGACGCCCACAACGCATCTTGCTCGGCATGTGGCCCGAGGAGCTCATACGTTCGGTTATAAAAGCGGTTGTATTCAGAGATTATCGTGAAATTAAAGAGGATCTGGCACATGTGTACGCCAATGGACAAATGCAAGCGGTAAGTTTTATGTTATTTGTTAAAAATTGTAAATAAAAAAAAAAAAATAAAAAAAAATTCCAAAATAGAAAAAAGCTAAATCATTGATTTTCGTTTTTTCTGTACTTCACAGGGCTCCCCTTTCGGCGCCGCTGGTAATGCAGCAGTAGCAGCCGCTGCCGCCAATGGTTATCATAACGCCGCCAAGTTGGCCGCACAGAATGCCGCACTCGCGCCGCCCGACTCGCCAAGCCCACTTTCCACGATGACCGAAACACTGCGCCGCCAAATTATGTCACAACAACAGCAATCGCCCATTTCCCAAACAATGAACATGTACAAATCGCCAGCCTATCTACAACGTTCGGAGATCGAAGATCAAGTATCGGCGGCGAATGGCAAACAACACGCCGACGCACGGCGCACCTCGGACAGCATGGCCGATCTGAGCGCGCTCGGTGGCCTAATGGGTATACCCGGTTTGAATGTGATGCCAGCGCAAGCGGCCACGCGCGCCAGTCAAATGCATCAGAGCGGCGCTGGCTATGCCAGAGAGCGTGAGCGCGAGAGAGAACGCGAAAGGGAACGTGAACTAAAGGAGGCCATGCAAGCGCGCCAATATGGCAATCAATCACGCGGCTCCATTGGTGCGTCCAGCGGCAGTAGCCAAAAGATGCCAGCCACAGCGACTGCGGCGGCTGATTCGGCGGCAGCAGCTTACGCGCACTACAAGAACAAAGAGCACGCCACCAATTACGCGTTCAATAAACGTTTCGCCGAAACGCTACCGCCCGGCATCGATTTCGAAGCAATCGCCAATGGTTTGCTGCAGAAATCGGTGAATAAGAGTCCACGCTTCGAAGACTTCTTCCCTAGTGAATTCTTTGGCAATGCTGAAAGTGCTGCCGGTGCTGGCGCCGCCTATCCGCCCACGCGCGAATCGCCGCTCATGAAGATAAAGCTGGAGCATCAAGCGAGCGCCGAAGTGCCGCATGAGGATTGAGCTCGCGGATACGTTGAAGCGTCCGAGCAGTGAAAGCGTTAGTGTGCAGGTGTGTAGTATCCCAGGGCAGGGTAAGGCAATAATATTATTTAGTAGTTGTATGCCATTTAGTATACGCACATACATATATTAAAACACACACATATATATAGTATATTATATAAATATTTATGGACATTTGGAGGAAGTAGGAATTCTTTAAGAATACAATTTTTTGACTGCTATTTAACCCCAAATTATATAGGTTAGTTCGTAGGTTTAAGGTATTCTAAATTACAAACACACGTATACATGTCTATATTATATGCAAAAATTTGCTGATAAGTCTAATTATATATCATAGTTGCTGTATGCGAATAAGTAAGCCTTACTTTAAGTTCTCGCTTAGTCGTAGGCTAGTGCTAAAGCTAAAAGCGAGCGGGTTTGTGTGTAGGGCAACTAAGCACCTAAGTATGCTAAGAAAATATGTGGGATTTTTAGTTAAAAGGTTATCCTTAAGTTTTATGTTGACTACGGTTAGAGAGACAAACAGTTTCCAGTGACTTTGGAAAAAGTGAGCAAGTAATAGAGAGTAGCAGCAGCTTAGCGACTAGCTAATGCTAATTTCTGAATTTTTTTTTTGATTTATTTCCTTAAATGCATAGGATCTCGTTGTAATACACATGTATACATACATATGTAAACTCGTTGTAAATTTATTTAATCGTTTTTCAGCATTTCTTCTTCAAATGCGCGTTTTATATTATTAAAGCAGAAATACATTAAAATAATTAATTTATAAAAATTATTGTGTAGTTGTAAACATTATTATGTAATTAAAATTGTAATAATAAGGGAAAAGTATGTATTTATAAAACAAAGTTTTCGCAAATAATAGACTTGAGCATTTTTAAATGTACGAATAGGTGTCTAAGTATCAGCAATGTATTTAATAGCTAAGAGTATAGTATGTATGTATGTGTTAAAAATTAAAAAAAAAATTAAAAAATAAACTTAGTACGTGAAATAATGAAAAAGAAAATAAAAGTATTCAAAAAGGAAATAAGTTATTTAAAAATAATACGAAAAATAAGTAAGTTGATTTAAAAAAAAAAATTTTAATTTTTTATTAAACCGGAGAAAATTACACATAATTATAAATATATTTTATCCGACTTCCATTTTGCAAATGCCTTTTTTTAAATAATAAAATAATTTAAAATAAAATAAAATGAAAAGAAGTTTTCCTTGGCTGCTTTTAAAATTATTATTTAATTGTAAATAATGTACAAATTAAGATTAAAACTGTAAAAAATATACTAAAAGTAAGCTAAAAAAGTAAATTTACTATAAATTATATAAAATTAAGAAATGATATAATCTTGCAAGCAAGTGCAGCGCTCTTCAGTAGTTATGAGTCCAAACACACAAATGCATTTTGCATACTCATGCATAACTTGCAGAAAAATTAGCTTGCTTTCCCTGCACACACATATACACACACACATACGCGTTTGCAAGAACTATACAAATTCCAGATGGAAAAGTGTAATGGAAAAATTAAAAATATTTCGTGAAGATTTATTTTTGCTTCGCTATTGTTGTGTTTGCTTTAAGTATATAGAAACACATACATATACATAAATAATGAATTGGATATGAGTAACTACTTTACATTGTATTTACCAGTTATATAGGCACAAAGTAAGCTATAATGCATATGGTAGAATTATATACAACATACATAAAAGCATACATACATACAGTGTAATCCAATGATAATTACTGTAATATGATGGATATGGAAGAATAAGTCAACAAAACGTGTATGCGCTGATGCAATGACGTGAATAAATATTTTTAGTTAATCGTGAATATAAAATAAATTAACTATTTGTGTTTCATTTCAAGTTGGCTAATCATAAAAATACCTATAAGCACGTATGTGCGGTGAGTATAGTTAATTTGTAATTGACCTTAGCCAGAAAAACTGCGCAAGCAGTGAGATGAGCGTTTCAGATTATTAAATATAAAATTCCATTTGTTGTACACTTTCACCCTCCTTTTCTTTCTCTCTCTCTCTGTAGTACGTTAAAAGTAGCAGAAATAAGTATCTTGAAGTGAGATTTCTTACCCAGGATGGTCAAATTTAACGGCTGCCACTTATTTGCGTGGCGCAATAAAATGACACACTTGCAGTATATCAACCTTGTACATCACAGTAAATGCTAAAGCGATCGGTGAACAAAAAACTTTTAAACTTTTGTCACATGTTTGAAAATTCGAAGTGCAAAAATTTGGTAAATTAACTATTAACAGTAGTTTGGGTATTTAACTAAAAAGCTTTAAAAAGCCTTATAGTTGTATACAGAATTTTATTTTTAGTAAGGTGCCAGTTGTTTGATCTGATTTTAGGGCGGAAGTAAAGCAAAGGAAGGAAAAGGGAGGAGTTGTAAGGGTATATAAACCGTTATATATGGTTTTCCGAAAAACTTCTAGGCATACGGAAACAATTATATAAAAATGTAAATGGTTATTTATATAACCTTAAAATTTAAGAGAGAGATTAAAAACACAGAACTGTTTATTTCCCACTTTTTTTTAACAAAACAACCCCTAATTTATAACTGAAAGTTCTCAAGTCAAAATACCTGTTTACTTTTAAAGAGTCGACAAGCTTCTTCTTCGCCGAAATCTTTGTTTTCTTATAGTTAAACAATAAATTCGTTGTGTGCCATTAAATTTCAGTAAAGACTTGACAATTGCTTAAACTTTTTCCTTGCATGTCATCAATGCTCTTCTTTAACCAAGCTAACAATACTTAGGTAAGTATACAAGCTTTTTTACGCGAGATCTATTTAATTATTGGGATAAACAAGCAAAGAATATTTATAATTAATGATCATATCTGCAAGCGTTCAGTTCCGAAATATCTTGACACACATTTTGTTTGTTACATATTGACAATTAATTAGCACTCACTGACTTAAATGTTTATTTCGAGTATTTTTTAACTACTGTTAAGTAATGCCAAAACTCACGGCGAATTTCCTTCCATTTAAAAAATAAAAATACCGATTACACCAAAAAGGAAATAATAACCACCTATGTATCCGTATAGTATATGTATATCTTCTGCAGCATAACCGTGGTTTGTCTAAAGCTTAATCCGGCATTTACCCAATTTGATAGCTAATTTGTCACACAATACTTTAACATTAAACACCCTGCAAACATAAAAACAAACATATATATGAGGTGGCGTGCCGCAAACAATTTATGTTTCTGTCTGGTCTCCGTCACCTTGTATTCAGTAACTTTTTTGTGCTTTGGGCTGTTGTCGTTGATGGTTGGCATTGCCGCCAAGCGCTGGCATTTCAATTGTTCAACCGACAAAGTTGGCGGAAAAATAAGTTACAATTGCCAACAGCGATAAGCTGTTGATGTTCGTGCTCTTTTTATCTCGCTTTTGTTTAACACTTTGTCTTGTGGTAACGCTTTCAATGCTAGCAATTTACTATTGACAGCGGTTGCTCATACGCCACGGTATGCCGTCAGAATGTTGAAGTCCTTTGTAGCTTCGTGCACAAATATCTGCATACGAACATATGAATATATATATTTATATAAGTTAGTAGTGTATGTATATATATACAGGTATGGAGTTCAGTTGCTCTGATTTATTTATTTTTCGGCTGAGCAGAAAATTGCTTACATATTTATTGCGGCTAACTAAAATTAGTAAAAGAAATTTTGTACACAACTCGAAGGAAGTATATATTTTTTTGGTTATTCATTTAATTAAGAAAATATACTCAAGAATATCAGTTAATAATGAACTCCCTCCTGATAGAAGATCTTCAAGCAATCTGGAAAGACATTAAGGGATTTCTTATCTGGTATAATGAACATGATCGAATAGATTTGAAGTATGAAAAATTGATTTATACCACTCCAGACAACTCATTCTATCAAGAAGTATTCATGTCCGTCTGTCCTTCCGCATATGACGCGAATTAATCCCTTAGTTTTCAAGATATCGAACTGAAGTTATACACACGTCCTTTTCGCAATAAGAAGTTTTTCATTTTTCGCAACCACTGGTATTGGAGCACTATAACATAAAAATTGAGCAATCAAAATCAAGATAAAGATCTTTTTATAGCCTTTCACACAATAAAAGGTTCACTTGTTAATGTTATCATTAGTGCAGCCGAAGTTAACGTTTTTCTTGTTTTTATTCTCAGTTTGGACTGGTTTCCTCGCCAACAATTCACTATTAGAAGAGACTAGTAGCAATTCTTTGACAAAAAAAGTGCTGACTTTAAAATTACTGCGCCTTAAATGACTTATTAGACAGGTATCATATTTTTTTTATCCCCTATACACATATACACATCCACACTTATCACTTATATAATAGAGGCACTGTAGTTCAAGCAGGCATTCAACTCCCAGAGAATGCAAAGCACAAGCGGTGCAAACAATGGCAAAGCACTTTGTATGAAGACAAAGTTTAGATTGTGCAGCTGTGGCAAGTGTAAATTGAATGAGACTGTCGCTTGACTTTCGCCACTAACCAGCCAGCACTAGCAGGGAAGGCAGCCAACTTTTGCTTAGCAGCATTAAGGCAGCAAAGGAATAGTGGCGGGTAATGACGAAGGCAAGCGGAAGGCGAAGCAAGGCATTATGCATATCGCAGAACCCGTTACGTTATACCGACAACCACTTGTTGCTTCTATTTAAGTCTATTGTGAGACTGTGTGTGTGCACGTGTGTACGTATGAGTGAGCAGTCTATTGTAGTTTCTCCGTTTGGTAAACTTCATTTGACGCTACTTCTTGTCCGGTGTTAAATCGGTTTGTCGCCACAATCGTCTGACAAGCAGACTTCGGATATGCAAATGTGTGCGTGAATGAATGAATGAGCAAGTGTGGCATACTGCAAACACCAATATAGTGGCAGTGGAGAATTCATAAAGCTTGCTAGATGATGCTTAAGCTAATAAGAAGAACAACAATCAAGGCAAATCTTACGAAATTTGCTATCGGCAAATGAATTAGTGTGAGCGCAGCAAGTCTCGAGAATGTGCAGTGAGATGCGATGAGTAAAAGACGGATATACATACAAACGGAGTTTATATAAGGGGAATCAATGCTTCCACGTATACACAAGGTCACTTGTATGTATGTGTTCTAACCATTACTTTACCGTTTAAGCGAAGCACTGTGTGATAATTGCTGCTGTGACCGTTGGCCTGCACATCGGATCGCAAAGTCGCTACAGAAATGTGAAGACACTGGACATGAGATGCTCATATTCACACAAGTGCACAAATATGTAAATATACGTATCGTCGCAGTTCAGCATTCACAAATGCATATCTATGAGTGGCTTTGCCGTTACACCAGTTGTCAAGGTCAAGCTCAATGCCCCGACAACTTTGTTGGCAATTCGTTTAAAGCATTGAAATTGTGGCTTTTTAATAGCCAGTCGTCTCCTTTGAAAACCATGCTCGTTTAAAATATATTTATGTTTATATATACATACACACAGAGAATGGCATGCGATTGTTGTTGGTGTTGTTATTGTTGAAAGAAAACAATTGCTTACTGCCACTTAACAGCTCAACACCACAAAGATATAGTAGACGCAAGACAAGCAACAAGCAAGTGACAGCAATGCATCCCTATGGGGCGGACAGGAAGACTCAAACATTTCTGGAATCACACCGAAGTACACAAACATAC